ATATGTTCATTCATATGTTGGAAATAACGCACCAATGAATGGGGCGTTTACTATGCAGAGTAAGAATACACAACAGGTGTGATGAATACAATTACGGGCAGTGAAGATGGAGGAGAAAGATTGTGCTTTGTTACAAGCTAATGAATTTCGTGAACGCCTTGCACTTTTTAATAGATTCAAAACATTGTTCCAATAAAAAAACTTGAAAATAAAGTACAATATCACTGTGTTAACATAGAGAGTATTCTGTGGTTCAGAGTATGTCTAAGAAGACTAATTTTATAGAAAAGAATCTGTTAGAAATGAGTCGAATACAGATTTGGTTGACTTACTTTTGCAAGTAGCATCATTATTATTTAAAAGCTTAATAAAATAGAATTAATTGAATTTAATAGTATATGCTATCTTAAGTAAGTTTTATTTAGAATTGAAATAATAACAGCATAAATATTGAGTTTTATAATAATATGTACTAGATTTACAAAATATATAAGTATTATAAATCTTAATCTTAATGTTTAAACACAAAAAGATCAGTTAAGCTCTTGCATTCTTGCATGAGAATTATACTTCTGCCCAATTGATTTTAAACTTTTTTGTACAGGAAATTCATTTTTTATAAACATGAAAGTATTGAACATCCAACTTTTAATTAACAATTCACGACTGCCTTGAATCTCTATTAGCAAATACCGTAATTTTCGTTCTACAGTCCTAAAACTAATATAAATTTGAATAGAACGCTTCTAAATGCTATGACCTTGAATAGATCCCAGTGTTTGTGAAGTTCCTTATGTAAGATAGTTAAATATTTTTGGATGAGGCGCGATTATAAACATGCCAACAAAAACATTATTGGCCAGTTCATTCTACCAGTTCATTCTAAACAAAATTCAAGGAGAGCTATAACTTCATGTTAAAATCTAGAATTTTTAATATTTTCTTATTTATTAAACCTAGAATGACTTCAGCAATTTCTCAAGAGTTTTAAAAGTTCAAGGGGAAACCAATTACCTTATACAATATACTGAGATTATTAACACATTCCGTGCCATCGGAAATTTTGGTTATATCTCGTTTATAATATGCATTGATTTTTTAAATAATAGATTAAGTTACATTCAAGCTTTTCCTGACTTATTAATAATATATTTTGATATTACAAAAATTGCGAGTGTACCATAACTGGCACATGTGGCACGGAACGTGTTACTAATCACTGATGAAATAGCCGTACCTTTACAAAGATATTTAAAACCCTTTGCACGCGACAATATTTTTCATTACATAAATACTCATCATTTTCTAATGAAGTATCGATAATATTATTTGCAATAGTATACTGAAAAATTTGGCAAATATCAAGGGATAGAATTATTTTATTTCTATATTTAATATATTGATATCTTGTACAAAATTTAACATTAAATTTTAGATTTTATAATTTTGCTGTGTTGAATCAAATGGCGACTGAGAGTCGCCTCAGGAGTGCAAAGAGTTAAAAGTATTTTTAAAAATGTGCTACCTTCAAATATTATTCAACAGGTAACAATACATAGGCTTACCCTTTTACAATTAAATAAAAAAGAGACAAGTTACAAATAATATTAAAACGTGTGAAATCTGTGTGACAGAAGTCATCTTAGAGTTAATCAGCAATGAACAATTTGTGCATTACAGAGGAGCAAATAAAAAGTGAAATTTAATTGAACACTGATATGTTAAAGTATGAACAAGATAAGTGTAATGTGAGCTGTACAAATGTACAGGCTTACTGAGAGAACTTGAGGCTTATGAGAAGAGTTAAAAAAATTAGAGAACGGCAAAAAGGTTCATCTCTACTCTCTAGTTAATTACATTAGTGGTTATTGAAAAGTCATGGATAATAATGTACACTTTTGCAAAAAGTTTGCTCACAGTGTTAGAAAGATGAGGATCTTGATCAAAAACTAATCAGTTTGGTGCCTGAATAAGAGTGTTGAGACTGACATATTCAATTTCTCCCGTTTCTGCTTGCGCACGTGTACTGGAGATCTCAAGTCCACTCGGTAGAACTATACTAGGTAGATCTAGATTAAGCAGATCCATATCAGATTATTTTTACAATCGTTTGGAAGATGCAGAGGGCATATTTGACCTCAAAGGTCGAACCTACTTTAATTTTAAATATCTTACTCTAAATAGAACAGGGTTGACTGACATTCATTCTACCATTTATTAAAAAACTGGAAAATATACATGGATATACAAGAGTCATAGCAAAGAGTGGGAGATTGTGCAAACAATGGGAAAACCCAAAATCATTTCAAGGGGGACTTTGATTAAAAAAAAGAAAGGAAAAAAGGGAACTTCTTGGTAAGCAAACCCCCATGTCCCCCTTTACAAATCCGTTTGCTTCAATTACAAGGCAACGTCCTGCGCAGTTATTTTACCTGGATGCGTTGACGTAACAAGCTAGTGCGTCTTTAGGCTGGCTAACGCTTTCGTACAAAATGCCCAGATTAGTCCACGCAGCCGAGTGAGATTTATCTAACTGTACTGCGCATATATAGGCTTGCAAAGCGTCCATAGGCTGGTTCTGCTGCTGGTACAGAACGCCTATGCTGCACCATGTGTCAGCATTGCCTTCGGATTTTTCCACGGAGTTTCTGCAACAATAGATTGCCCATTCAGTTAGTAAACTAACAGGTAACAGCGACAGGTTTGTAAAATTTATAGAGTGAGTTATCTAATTCTATCTGCTTAACGCTTTCGATTCTATTATACTACTGCTGAAAAGTATGCGGACATTTATCACTTTTATGAAATTTCTGGTATATTATATATTGTCAAACAGTTTTTATGGCTAAATTATGTTACATACACTTCCTGTTGTGTAACTGAACAGTAGCACTATTCAAATGTTTTAAATGAAATTTCAAGTACAATCCGAAGGGAAAGTGTTGCCACGTTAATATCAACAAAGTGTTAAAATATTTTACCGAATGTTTTATAAACAAAACAAATTATAAATTATCTAGCAGATAACAAAAGAATTTCCGTTCTCTTTATTTTATGTATTGTTGCAATGCAGTTTTTTATTTGGTATAAACTAGTATAAATAATAAAGAAATTAATAGCCAGAATGCTACGACTCGTAAATGCAATTATACTTTCTTTAAGTTGTTATAAGAATTGAGATGTCCACATAGGTCTGAGCAGTAGTTAGATCCCACAGTACAATTTAAAATTATTTTTGTAAAACATGTTATCCTACAAAACACTAAGATGCTGGTATTCTTCACTATTATTATTTTGTAAAATTAAGTTTTTATCCTATATACAAATATACATTTATTGGCCAAAAATCGGATCAAAACAATTAAATTAAATACCGCTACCAACTTGTTTAACTTTTAATTGTTAAGATGAATTTCAACAAATCTCAAATTCTTTTCTTCCCATAAAAGAATTTGGATGTTTTCTTTTACAATAATCAAATATTCAACTCGATTTAGAGCATACATTGAATTATTTAAATTTATACGAATCGTTTATACGAAACCGCTAAAATTTTACTTATATCAAATATGATATAAATCTATCAAACAGTCTGTTTAACAGATAAAAATTAAGAACGATCACCGTGAGATTAACTCTTTGCACTCGACAATACTTTTCATCATAGGGACTCATTATTTTCTATTGAAATATTGATAATACTATTAGCAACTAAGATAAAGGAAAATCTTATATAATTTAAGAATCAGAACTATTTTATTTTTATAGTTTATACATTGATACCTAATACAAATTTGAATATTGAATTTCGAAGTTCATAACTCTGCTGTATTGAATCAAATAGGTGACTGAAAGTCGCCTCTCGACTGCAGAAGGTTCATATTATCACACGGAAATTTTCTGGCGCTTCAACTAGATAATGCAAAGCGAAAGGAACACTATTAACTAATTACTGCTGGTTATTAACAACATTTATCTTTGCAGTGAATAAAGTATATAATACTTATCAAGGATGCAAAAATTTCTGTGTTGATTAATCCCTTGCCCCATAATCGCGAGTAAGAAGATTTTTAATTCAGTTTAACCCCCTGCCCTAAGATTTATTTCTTAGCTATGATCGAAACAGCTACTTCATTGTTAATAATTGATTAAGGAAGGAAAAAATGTTGATGCTTATTCTATGTATACGTTTACTGCAAAGGTTAATGATTGATAATAGAAAAATAAAATTTAATTTGTGTTTAAGAAACATAAGTAATAATTAGATTTGTTAAATTCAGTTTATACTTTTCGTAACGAGTCCGGCACAACATTGTAAGTCAAGGGGTTAAAAAAATCAATGTTATTCAGTGTATATAAGCCGAAGTTAGAAGCTATTTCCTATTATCAATGTTTTACCTTCAAAATACGCGTGTACTTACAATAAATAGATTTTTTCGTGATCTCTCAAATTATTAATCCTTTGTGTTCGAAAACTTTCTACTAGAAATAGTCAACATTTCAAGAATGTTTACTGGAATTGCAATGAAAGAATGAAATCAATATAATTCTGCTATATCAAATTAAGTGGTGACTGAGTCTCTCCAGTGCAAAGGGTTAATAACGAAATAATCCCAACAAGCATAGTCGTAAAAAAATTATACTGCAAGGGGTTAACGCTTTAAATCACTCGTAAACAGATTGTTATATAAAAAGCGATTCAAGTAAACGTTGTTCAAACATATCATGCAACAGTTGAAATACTGTTCATTAAAATTCTGCTACTATATAACTCAAACAAGGTGTTTAAAGATTTTAAACACTTGATCCGAGTATTACTGTACGCATTTCTTTCTCGATAATAGTAAATAATTGTTACGTTTGAAATATGTGTCGTTCTTTTTCGAATGTTTAATTACCCAAACCAGCAGAAAAGCAAGAATAGGACGAATCAAACTAACTTTAATCATGTACATTTTTAATAATTTAAAATAAAGTAAACTTATTTTGTTGAAAATTTCACTCATTAGTATTTCCCTTCATTCGTGAATTTCTATGCGCAAACGTAACTTAGTACTCTACGTACCGACACTGTACGTCAAATAATTAGTTATAAAGTAAAGATAAACAAGTTAAACGATAAATATTTCTTCTTGGAAATAGAAACAGAAAGAAAGACAAAAAAAAACTGAAAAACTGATTAATATTATATAAAACTATCGAACTTAATTGATTTACAGTTCAGTTTTCGTAATGTTAAATCAGTTTCTTTAATAATTTCTCAGAGAAACGTCCAGTTATCTTTTTAATAATTGCAGAAAGAAAACATCAGGAATGGGTCATTTTGACCCGTCTAATAGTGTCTAATATGATTTAATGTTAAATGAACGAAGAAAACCGGACAACTTTAAATCAAATTTCAAAACTGATCGTTCGACCGTTTACGTTGGTACGTTTGGTGTTAGGACGACAATTACATCTAAAATATATTCTTGTCTTACATAAAAAGAAAATGATCGGTACGCCATGGATTTTATGCAATTACAGCAAAACTGGTTATCCGTGTTTTAATGTAATAAAATGTGTCATGATATTTTATGCGTTTCGTCTGAAATCTGATAGAACGTTTAACATTGTAAATCGTCTGCTGTTTCAAGTCCAGTTTCTGCAAATGAACCAACGGATTGCTATACCCCGCATAATTATCCCGTTAGCCCGATCGTCAGTTTCGAGTGCATGTTACCTGTAAGCGATAAATGCATCATGAACTTTTCCAGAAGCAGCGAGGCACCGTCCCAGCAGGTAAAGGCTTTGGCCACTCTTCGGTTCCGCCTCAATAGACTTTTGAAGGCAGTGAATAGCTATTGCTTGCTTCTGCTGTCTCGTTATGCCCAGCACGGTGCAGTCAACCACGTGGTACATCCATCCTGGAATACATAAATATTTTAATTAGCGTTATTTACAACCGCCGTTCGTGTATTTATATTGCATTTATGCTTATATTATGGGTCGAATTATAACGATGTTTCTCGAATTGAAAGATTAAGTTTTCATGAACCTTTACGTATTAACATTAAAAAAGTTGAGGAAGAGGTTTCGTTGGGTTACTATTAGGAATATGATATTTATTTTATTCAGAATGTTTGAAGAAATATTTAATGCCATTTATGTCACTAAAATCGATAATTTACTTTACTAAAATATATCACTTTTTAAAAAGTGTAAACATAAATGTTTATACAGATAAATTACCAGTAATTAAAAGAATTTAATTACAGTAATTAACAACTTCTAGCATAATTCGGTCTTTATAAATTAATTTTTGAGTATTTGGAACATTTAGATTTCATGGTTTCTTGTAGTTTTTGCATGTTTATGCGAGTAATGCTCAGTATTTGTACTTTAGTAATAAGCATATTTTTATAGCATACACGGTAAATGAATATATTGAGAAAGTAAGATTTTCTAATCATCTGCAAACTCTAATTTGTACTGCCAAATATACAATTATAACAGTGTTAATACTAGAACCACCAAGCGTTTAACATGATTAATATGTAATCCTCATAAAAATTGTAGCAATAGATTTCTTTCAGTTTCTTTGTGTATTCATTCCAGTGTTTAAGTAAAACTATTTATTTTTCAAATCACTTAATATATTTAACACGTTTCAGGTTTCAATAATAGCGAAATAATAAACCTTAGTAACACGTGCCAAAACGATAATCACCAACAACAACGTTCAATAAAAGAATACTAACTTTTACAACTGATTCACCAGCAGCCTTTCGAACGTTCAAAAAAGTGAACTCCAATCAAACGACGAACTAAAACACAATCACGAACTCCAAAAAGAAATTCAAACACACGATTACAAGGAGCTAACACAGTGTAAATTGAACTGATCACATAGACCACGTTCCGGATGCTACGAAGTCAAAGCAAATCAAGTTTCACTGCTCCCATCCAAATAAAAAACACATGTTCGGGTAACAACAAAAATCCGAAACTCGTTCACAATATTTCCGCAATCCCGTACAAGTTTAAAAAAAACCAGTTCCAAAAAATTGTCACGCACACTGGATACTAAGGGCATCCTCGTTCCTCGCCATCTTTACAGATTACTAAGAGCTGTTGCTGGTTTCCGGAAGTGTTTCTACGCGGCCTGAGATCTCACGTGAGAATTCATAAACATTTAAATCTACGATGAATAAACGAACAACGATAACGATGAATAAAACGAAGAAGAAAAATCGAATAAATGATTGACGAAGAATTCGAGGACGGGGATGAACGGTTGAACGCGAGGTTAAACGATGAGAAAGGGAATAAGTCCCGCGGAGGGATGATCAGCGTTCCGATGGATCGCTGCGAATCGAGGACGTGTTGCCTCAACACTAGACGAGTACCGAACTGAATAGATTTTCGCAGGTATAACCTAGGGTAGCCACTTTTACCCCACTCTCCCTTTCGAGGCGAGTCTCGAATTACAACCCTCTATAAACATAGGCGTAGAGGCACGGCCTGCCTCTGTTCGACAATTGGAAAATAGAATTTGGACCTTTTACTGTGTGCAGGGTAGAAGTTTAGAAAAGTTTTCAGTGGGCCATACAAGTATTTAACACTGAAACTACTATGCAGTCGTACTGACATTCCAAAATTTTTCTACAGAAACTCTAACAGTATATGTATTGAGATGTCTATTAATTTACAATTATATTTGCGTATTGCTGAACAAATTTTATTGTTTATAATTTTATTATCTTCTTAATAATTGCAAAAAGAAGAAATCAGAAATGGGCCTTTTTAACCTGTGTGGTAGTTCTAGTGTTAATAATAGATTATGTATAGTAATTGTATATTTTGAATGAGTTTCAAGATCCAATTGGGAAATAGAATTTGGATTTTTTATAGTATCCAGAGTAGAACTTTAGAAAAGTTTGCACTGGGAAATAAAAGCATTTAATACTAGGTTCAGGTAATCTACTTTGATGCATATGTCAACTTGATGGATATCGAGTTTTATAAACAGTACGTAGTTAATGTTTGTGCCGATTTTGATTGACACAATTACACGAATATGTATTGTAATTGTCTATTTTGAAACCTCTAATTTCCGAGATTTAAACGAATGAACGTCAATTTTCTAAGAACAATAGAGTAAACTGCAGGATAAATGTTTGCAAATTTGCTGTTAAAATTAATGTTCAGATATGTTTATAATGCATATTTAGTGGATAACAGATATTTTGAAAGTTTCGTATATATACTAGTATAAAATTTCATTGAAAACGAATAACACACGTTTGAGATGTCTATTTTTATTCGAATATATTGATTTTAAACACTTTTGTCAACCAATGTATAACTTCGTAAACTGAAGCTTGATAGCTCTTGCGTCATAAATATATTATGTAAGCAACGTTAATAATATTACATAACCCCTGTTATGAACAGATAACGTGAAGGAAATTTAGATTTTCCAACAAAATTTCTTTCTACCACTCTTCTGACTTCTTTTTAAACATGAATAATGATTTACAACGGTCTTTTGTACAAAGTTTGAAAAAGGTCTTTGACAATCAATTCCTTAACAGCCGAAAGGCTCCACTATAAGGAAATGTAAAAAATTGTATTTTCATTTCTATTTATTATACTTTTTATTAATTCTACAGTTTTATCATATTGAAAGTTCTAGGTCTCTATATTTGAACAATATTTTATTGTTTCACAGGTGAAGTATTATTGAATGATTATCTATCGTTAAGAATCAAAAAACAGAAAATCGAATAAATCTGTACTTTGTTATTAGTTTCAATAAGATTAAAGCAAAATGAAATTGCATTAAATTTTACTGAACTTTGTGATTTGCGAATGTTGAAAAAATAATGGTATTTAATTTTACTCGAAAAGATCAATGTTCTATTGAGATTATAGGTTTTACACGTTTTTAGCTGAAATAGGTAGATAAGTAATTCAGTTTGATGATCACTCTGAATGGTCGATCGATTTTAATAAACTGGCAGATTTATTAATAGCTTGGGGGTTACGCTTTGGTCTTTAGAAGTTTTACGATATTCACGTCTCATCACGTAATATTATCGTTCTTCATATTGCAATTTAAATATTTAATATGGCAGATATTAGTAGAATGTAATTCGGTTTTTAATATAATACAATTTTTAAGAAATCAAATTTCCCAAACTAAAAAAAACGATAGTAATAATATAATTACGATGTTAATGGTGATAATAATAATAACATTAGCTTTGTCATTTTATTTTATGAATGAATACTCAAAACTTGGAGTAAATGGTCTATAATTAATTTTACAATTACAGAGGAATTGATTGTATAGAAATGTGTTGTAAAAATGATTCTCCAATCGGTGGAAATTTTTGTATTTGATTAAGGCTAACGAAGCGGATGTTTAGCCAGCTTATTCTATTAAATGCATGTTAGTCTACTGGCTGGTTCTGAGTAAGTACACTGGTGTGTGTGTCTCTTTGTGAGTGTGTGTGTGCGCGCGTGTGTATGTGTGTATGTGGCATCCTTAAAGGCAGCTGTTAGCCTGTAACGGTACACCATTTTCCAGTTCTTTCATTCATTATTATCTTCTGTGCATAGACCTGCTTCTCCTGCGAAGGTTCGACGATAGTTCGAACTGTTTGCGTTCGAAAATGGGAGCTGACAGGATATTTTTAAGAACAGGAATTTTTTTAATTAATTCTTTGATATCCTGTGTAAGGATTGTAAAAACCTCGTGCAAACTAGATGAAAAACTATAACCAAGATTAAAAAAGACAAAAATCTTACATAACTAAGAATTAAATTTTTATTTCACTCTACTTTGAGATAAATAGATAAGATAGAAAATTTCATATAGGAAAATAAAAGTTTCTCTGATGTTGCAATTCTTTTAAATACATTTTTAAACTAGGTACGTAAATAAAATCTTCATTGCTGGTGATTTTATTTTCAGTTCAACAGAGTATAAATAGATTTAGTTTATTATTATTTTGATAGAGACAAATAAATTTTCGAAATTTCTTTTTAATCCTGATGTAATTTAATCTAACGAGATTTGTATAAAAATAAAAGTCTAGTTGATATTGACAATTATTAGTTACATATAACGCTTAAATACAAGTAAGCAATTACCATTCCTTTTTCATTTTTCCTCTCACAAAAATAAATGATCAAACATTCAGTTCAGATCTGATGATCCAGTTCGCGCATTGCTAAACCAATTTCTTTAAAAATTTCTCAAAGATACATCTGTTATTTGTTAATAATTGCAAAAGGAAGGAATCAGGTATCATTTCTACGATATGCCTAACACAAGAAATCTATTTCACACTTTCAGCTTATTTATTTATAATCGTAAATTCACAGATTTAAATTATCTGGGATCAGTCGGTCGATAATAAACCCTGACACCGGCCAGAAAGAAGTGTTTACGCGTGAAGAGTATATGAAAAAGTTGATTAACGCTAACCGTACCAGGAACCGGTCAAATGACCGGATTTTAAATTCTGCGTTTTCTTTCGTTCATTTAACTTTATATCAATTCCTATATTATCCGATTAATCAGTTTTTCAATTTTTGTCTTTCCTTTTGTTTCTCCTTCCATTAGCCAGTTAGCTGTCGTGACCTCTTTGAAAAATGTGTAGCTAAAATGTGTCGCAAAAAGTAAGCGATGACGAGTATACTCGTCATAACACAGAACCATACCAGGCAAAGAGCTGGCTACAAAATAAAGATACATTTCTTTCAACCAGTCAGCTGTTTTCGGCGAGTTTACTCGTCATAATACAAAACCTTGTAATTTTTTCATGATGAGTACACTCGTCAAAAACAGCTAACTGGTTAAAAGAAATGTATCGTCTAACTTGCTTACCTTTATTTCGTAGCCAGTTATTTGACT